GTGTGTGTGTGTGTCTGTGTGTGTGTGTGTGACCGGATCTCACCTGAGTGAGTAGATCGTCAGACAGAGTGGTCACATGATCCCAGGACCCTCGCTCGTACAGGTGAACCTTAGTGTCAACAGGAACCGCTAGAAACTGGGTTCACACACAAACAGTGTTTTGTTATTTTACATTTAATCTTCTGTTCTGCTTCTTAGATCATGTTTTTCACTGGTTTTATGGTTTGTTTGTTTTTTAATCGGAGGTGGATGTGCAATAGAAGACACCACGTTTTGTCAATCCACTGAACACAGAGCCACTGACCTTAGCCGTCCTGGGCTGCCACGCCAGCCGACACAGAGACTTTGCATTACTGATGTCGTTGGTCTTCTGCAGCAGAGGCCAACTGATCACCTGAGTCTGAAGGGACACAAAGACGATCAGAGTCTTGTTGGATGAAGTGCACGTTAATTCAGAAAAACAAATCGTTGAGAGTGAGGCGGCAAAACATTGATGTACCTGCTCCTCGATGTTCCAGACGACGACAGAACCATCACAGCTGGAAGACGCCTGTTTTTAGAGGGATAACGTTTAACAGATAAAGTTTCATATGAGCAGTCTTTACGTCACTTTAGTTTTGACATCAAATATCATCCAAAACATACGCCAGAAAAACTGTGACCGTTTATACACCCAGTGATGAAGGAAGTACGCAAACATTTTTTACGATGATGAAAATGAACTTAAATAAAAGAACCACGTTAACTTCAGGGTTTACTGTCACCTGCCTGCTCTGATTGGATCAGGCGACCAATTACTTAGTACAATTGGAACAGATATTTGCAAATGTAAAGGAGTAAAAGTACCTGAAAATAAATAAAATGAAGTACAGTAATGAAGTAACTGGGTTCACTTCGCAGTTTTAAACTCAGCACAAAGCAGCAGAACTCAATGCATCATCTCACAAAGATAGATTTGTGTATTTGAGATTAAGTAAATTAGTAAATCTGATTAAAGGCTTCATTATGAAACCGACATCAACACAAATCAACCAGAGTTGAATTTCCTCCTCCAGGGAGAAGAGCTACCCACCAGAAAATCATCTTTGGGGTCAAAGGTGACACTGAGGACAGGCGCTTCATGTCCCCGCAGCGTTTTCTGTTGGCTGCTGTCCGACACCTCCACCACCTTAACCATGAAGTCGCTGAGGGAGACAGAGAAAAGAATAAGTGTGGTAGTGCAGGTTTCATCCCTTTCAACACGTGGCAGAATCGGAAAGGGCGTCAGCTTGAACCAACACGGCTGCAAATTGTCCAATCGATGAACAAGAGACGCAAAATAACCCTGATCTCTTCCAGAATGCAAATGTCAAATCCTCTGTAACATCCTCAGATGCTTGAATTTTTACAATCAATACCACAGCAGAAATTACAAGTGTGAAAATAGCAGCATCAATACGGCGTCACGCTCTGTGCTTTCATTTCTGTGATAAACCTGTTGAGGGAAAATTGATTCTGGCAGCAGACAAACATTTATCTCCAATCAAGACTAATCATGAACTCAATCCAAAGTGCTGCTGTGCCTTGAAATATCATCTTGCTACACCGCTGCGTGCAGCTCATTCTGCGCTGGAACAACAACACCAGACCTAATCAGATCACAGTGTGGGTTAGTCGTGCTACGCACAACGGTGAACACAACAGACACGTTACGCACGACAGCTCCACCGGACGCCGCCGGAGAAGCCGGAGCGGATGAACGTGCGCGGTTTGACAAAGTGAAACTGACATGTGCTCGTCTTTCAGCACCGAGATCAAATCACCGGTGGAAAATATCTCAGGAGGAATCGATGCATCTGCTCATTCACCCGGACACACAAGTGAAGATGTCCTTCATTGTGAAAATAAAACTTTCCCTCTCACTCAGGATTACGGCCCAAAAAAGAGTCTCGCTATTGTTAAAGATTTTTCGATTTTGATTTTCGTTGAAACCAGTTAGATAATAAAAATTAAACCAGAACTAATGAGATACAGCGTCTGAGCTGTAGAGGTGTTGGACAGAGCCAGGTTTCCACTACTCCTGGTGCTTTGGTGATTATCTGTAAGTACCTGGATCCGGCGGCGACTCTCGAGCCGCTGCTGTTAAAGGTGACGTGTGTGGCGTTGGTGGTGAACCGGGTCAGGATTCCATCTGGGTCGCCATCGGGAAACGTGTGGATCTGCACCGTGTTGTTGGAGCTCGCCGTCACCAGCTTACCATTCTGTGGACGGAGGAACGTGTCTCAATACACCACTGACAGCCGCCATTTTTGTTTTGATTTATCTCAAAATGTCTCAGTGGAAATCACAACAGGCTGAATCTGCAGGAAGGCGGCAGACACCGACCTTCAGTGCCAGAGAATACGCCTTTTCTCCGACGGTGATGAACCTCGGGTCGTCGTCGTCCAGACTTTCCCATATCCTGACATCTCCATCGTTTCCACAGGTGACGATGAACCTGAGGAAAGTTCGATCATGGTTAAAAACCAGCAGAAACAAAACCAAAGAACTGAAGCACATCTGTATAAAGCAGCAACACAATAATAAATATATAACTGAATCAACACAAACTGAACTTTATGATGTTTAATTAATCTCTCAGTATTTCTGTACACTTAAGTATTACTCATTACTTACTGATGCCCGTTTCCTTCTCTTGCAGGTTTCTAATAAAGGATTTTCTGATCTTACAATGATCTGATCGTTTAAACAGCTACTTCAGCTTCACACACTTTCACTCGGTGATTATTTGCTGTGAAGCATCTGATCTCTTCCTCCATCACTTCTCCCCGGTTCTTATCACACTCACCTCCCGTCGTCATCGAAGCAGACCTCGGTGTGTCCCTCGGAGTGACCGTAGCGCATCGGCTTCCTCTCACACGGCATTTTGATTATTCCCCCACAAACTGAGACACACACACACACACACACGTTAACCACGAGTCAACGACACAACAACACAACACAGCGCGGATCTGATGCAACACCACAAACCCGGTGTGTGATCTAACAAACCTTGTTTCCTCCTCTTGTCCTTGTCCCAGCTGTCTTCTCCTCCTTCACGATCTCCCGCGCTGCGTTGAAAACAAGGAAACGCCGCGTCACAACTCCCGCCACCGACGTCATGACGCAGACGCCGGAAGTCCTCCCACGTTTGAGCCGCGCGGGAAGAGCAGAGTCAGATCTCAGGATTTTATCTTTATCTACGTTTGTGCTCAGCTTTAAATGCCTGAATGACTGAATGTGATTCGGTGAATAAATATGTTTTGTTCAAGTGTTGACACCTGAAGGCTTCGTCCCTCAGGTGAGTGGAAACCACCAGAAACAATCCCTGTCTTTAGTTAAAGTCGAAACTAGAGAAAACACGTGCAACTCAATAAAACAACTCCATCCACTCTTGTTTTTCACTATTCGCAGCTTGTTTCTTTGCATGTGTTAACGAAGTTGTTTTCTTAACTTGCACGTGTTTCTAATATTTGCACGTGCTTTCTTAATTTGCAGTGCGTTGAGCTCTCTCTGCCACTGATCAACATTGTTGTTCTGTGATTAACCCTTTTTTTTTTTTTACACATTTTTAAAAATTGATTATTTAAAAAAAAAACTCCAGAGTCAGAGGCTTTTTTGATTCTATTTGTACTGAAATCAGCTAATTAAGCTTTGAATTACATTTTATCTGAATCACATTACAAAACCTCTGCTTCAGCTCAGCTCCGACTCTCCATCCTTCCTTTTGAGCAGCATCATCTCAGGGGAGGATTTGATTAGTGCAACAGGAAGTGCTCTGCCGGCAGACAACTAAACGTCTGAATATCACTGAACCATGATGATTTACAAGAATCAGGGACAATCACAGTGTGGATGATGCAACAGGCCTGATGCCTGATATGTGTATTTATATGCTAATCACTGATGTATCAAAGAGTCCTGGATGAAAACAAACATTGCACTTCTTCAGTGTGGATATCAGTAACAGGAATCTGATGCGACAGATATCGGCTTTGAGCTGCTGAAAAATGATGCTCACCAACCGGATCATACAAGATAACATTAATATTTCATGTATGTGGTTCAGAAAATCAATAGATGTGGCTCTTGATGCCGTCCACTGACTGAGCGTCCACATGCAGGCACACGAAGACCCTGACGAATGGTGGTGAGATAGAGATCTAAGTTCAGCAGCTGCAGAGTCGTCCAGGTTTTGATTATCCACCTCCACCAGTTATTGCGCTTCCAGGAAGGTGGGACGCTCGCAGGAGATAACGTGAAATTAATGATCAAAATGAAGCGGCACTGGTCAAAATGTCTCCACTTTATTCCCCTAAAGCTAAAAAAACCACAAAAAAACAATGTGTCCTACTTTTCCACAATGCACAGTTGGCATTTTGCATATCATACAGGAAAAAGTGCATTTCCGCTTTATATATAAAGTCAAGTCAAGTTCAAGAATAAAGTAGAAATTTCAATAATAAACTTGACATTTTAAGATTAAAGTTGAACTTTTCATATATGTCTTGTGTGTAAACACAGTGTGACCAACAGTGTTGGGTCTTTGATGCTGAGCATTGACGAGCTTGGAAAGATAAAACACTGGCAGCTCAACATTTCAGCTTTATTCCTGAAATACCTTGAAAAACTTCCTCTGATTCAGTTCAAGCTTATTCTCAAAATTCAATGTGTCTGTTTAATAAATAAGAATTTGAGGTTCAAGGCAAATTATTTTCCCCTGGGTTTCTGCTTCTATTGTCTTTTCTCAACCCTCTGCAGTGAGTTGATCTGTCATAGCAGGAGAAGCGTAGTTGTTACGAATACCATCAACAATTCCACCATTTTTCTACCTGTTACAATAAATCATGGCAGTGTAACAGTAACCCAACATGTGCCAACACCAAGACCCTGAAGTTGTTCAGCTGTTACTAACTAATTATTTTCAGCTTTTCACTGAGATTGGGGAAAATTTCTTAAATGAAAATAAGAAGAATCTTCCCATTGAGCTTTTAGTTGTGAAGATGATCTGGGGGTCTGGTGGTTTAATATAAAGACTTAATTAGTTCATTTAAAGTTTAAATTTAACTGAATGTTTGTGTCATTAAACTAATCTAACATCCTCAATCTGCAGACCGAACCGGATCCAATTCTCCAGATCTGATAGAAGAGATTGAAATTGTAAACTTTGATGAAGAGGAAAATCTACTCGGGTATGTTAAAGTAAAATCTTGACATCTGTTTGACAAATAGACATTTTGCTTCTGAAAACCTGGCATGATGAATATTTTATGCACTCTCTTGTAGCCGCCTTGGGGAAAATTATATATATTTAAATTTGTCACACTCCAGGTTGGAGAGACGCTAAATGACACATGAATCAATTTAAAAAATCTGAATTCCTCTCCAGTGATGAGGCTTTTTCATGTCCTTATCGCTCCATTTTCTCATGCAGAAGCGCTGGCATTTAGAGGTGTCCTTTGCAGAGAGAGCGGGATGAATTGTTTGCAGCTTGATACTTCAAAAGCTGAATTTTCCACACTATTAGCCTGTCTGACCGTGGCATGGCCCACGGCTGCAGCACGAGCAGGCTGCACGGATGAGCACAAGTTCTGCTGCACCATTAAACCAAGAGATGAGAAAATCCTGTGAAACATGCAGAGGCGGTGTAAATGACATTTATTGTTTTTTGCATCAGTGGGGTGAATACAATATATGCATGGAGACAAGAGGGCATCACAGTGATTCAGGTGGTTTTAGGATATAGTGCTTATAGTGAACTGTTCTCTATTCCACAGTTTTTCCAATGATAATACTGTAGAGGCACAACTGATGTTAAAATGCCAGTTTACAGAGGAATTATCAGCCATGATGGACAAAGACGCAGCTGTAGAGTGAAAAAGAAAGAAGTGACCAAACCTCTCATCAGTGCACTTATGCTGCCATCGTGTGGATGCAGAGAAGAAGGCAGCACAGTTGGATGAGTTCCACATGAGAGACAGATATCTTAAGGATTAATGGGTAATGCTATTGAATGGATGAGTGGATATGATAGACTACGACATATGAATTTATGATATATTGCATATTAGTAGATGCAGTTGGAGTCTCTGTTCCTCTAACCCTCAGTAGTATTGGTTGTGTGCAGGACGGTGCAATAGCAAAGCATCACATGAATGTTATTTGGCCTCAGCCAGGTGCCGTGAAAGGTGCAGTTCCTCTAGTGGCCGCTAGAGTTACCATATGCCATACTAGACAACTCTGATTGAGTTGATGTCAAATGGAAAGTGCTCCAACTCCAAGAGTCAATATTCCACAGAATGTGACGGTTAAAGTTTAATGTCTTGGCTTTTCCACTCCATTAAGGCAGATTTATTACAGGTGTCTCATAGTGTGACCTTGGCTCCAGTTAATGTCAATATGGCCAAGAGAGGAAAACCTAAATAGGAGGTTCAAAGTATCCCTTAGTACCCATGTGACAGACAGAAGGCCAATGAACCTTTCCAGGTTTGGTTGTTCTATCTCTTGATGCAGTGGAAACATCTTTAAGGCTCCAGTTCTGCACCATTTAGGCGTAAAAGGTTAGCAACAGCAAAGCTCATTGGAATTTAATGGCAATATTTTTGCTTATTGGCCAAAAGAAGTTGCCTTTGCCTTGTTCAATCTTTGCCTCCCATGGTATGATGATGCGTGTTCTTTCCATCACACAGCGCAGGCCCCCTCACATTTAATGTGGTACTGCCTGAGGTAGTCCCTGAGCTGTGGTGGCAGTGGGAGGGTGTTTATGCCCTGGTATGTGGTGCTGCCACATATCGCAGCCCTGCACAGGTGCTGGAGGGAGAAAGGAAAGGTCCTTAGCAGCGGTCGGGAAAGCAGCGGCTCAAAGAAGAGGCAGGTGGCCGGGTCACTGTAGTGTCTCAGCAGTCCTGTCACGCTGGGATCCCTGTACATACACGGGTCATGCACGTCAAAGCTGAAGCGCTTGCCGTTCTGCTCAATGCGAGCATGCAGGGAGCGGCTGTAGCGGCGGAAGCTGACTGAGAAGAGGAACTCATCCTGGGCAGAGTCTCGGAGCAGGAATGTTCCCTCTGGTTGGCCCTCCAGGAGCTCCTCAGCCTCAAAGCGGTTCAACACACCCCAGTAAGAGGGGCTGTTGTTGATCTGGAGAAGATCTGGGACCAAGATGTAGTCAGTGTCGCCGCAGCTGCCCTCTGCTCCCCCATTAGGACAAGAAGGGTCCCAGTCCTCCAGACTGGTGCTTCCAGGCCCTGGGGAGCAGCAGATGTCGTCCCAGGAGAGAGGTGTCTGTGGGGGTGAGGTAGAGGATGATGAGACGTTGGGTTTCAGGGGAGCCTCCATCTCCTTGAGAGAATTTGGGTGAGTGGCATGATTTTTTATAAGGTGCCAGCATCGGGCCAGTTCAGATTTTGGTGAGAAGGGACACTTGTCCTGCATGAGCTCCGAGACATGGATCTTGCGTTTGGACCAGAAGAGCACAGAGAAGGGTCGTGAGGAGCCTGGTGGATGGTGGTGATGATGATGATGATGATGATGGTGATGATGAGAGCGCAGAGGAAAACACTGGCCCACAGCATCCTGGAACTTCTGCCGTAAAGAGCGCCGGCTCAAGGCCTTCCGACACACCACATCAATGTCTGCAGACGTCAAAGCATCCCCAAGAGTGCTGCAGCTACACTTTCTCTCTCTCCGCCGCCTTGGACAGGATGTTGACCGTACACCCAGCTCCTCTGTCCCCTCCGCCTCGAGCCCTCCTGGACTCAACCCGCCGCTCCGAGAGCTCCGGGAGCGTTTCTTTCCCCTCCAGATATAACTGTCTGCGCTCCAGCTGCGGAGGCCACATTTGGGACGTGTGTCTGAGGCTCGTGGCTTCTTCTCCGACATTGCTGCTTCCTCTTTGTATTCTGTGAAAACAGACGGCAGAGTCAAAACATGATAACAGCAGCACCTTCACATTTCTGAATATGTAGTCCGTTATTATAAAAGCTGCTATAGATAGACAGTATAGACAACATTATCCCAGTGAACAATGACTTCTTTCCTTTTTTCACCACAAAGTAAATATCCTATAATCCCCTTTATTGTTCCAGAAAGATATATTTCAGTGAGATTATCTTTAAAGCTGTTTGTCGGGACGTTAATTGTGCCATAAAGAACCTTTTGAGAATGCTCAGAGTGTTCAAATTAATAAGATTTAAAAAGATTTCTCTTTCTTGCGGGACACCGAATTGTTTATTAAGATTTTAATGACATTTTGAGTTCATTAATTGATTGACTTTGGTCACAAACTGACCAAAATATAACTTTCTGCACGTGCAAGACTAACATCTGATGATTTAGTACAAGACTAACAAAGTAGAAACTAAAATAATTGCAGTCTGCAGAAAACAAATCAGCTTCCATAAAAACCACAAAGGTGGAACAAGACAAAACTTTTGTGATTAATTTCTTCAGAGATGTTAAAGAGTGATAGTTTTGTTAAACTCCTTTTTCAAGCTATATCTTTACCCCTTAGATTTTAGCCTGTTAAAAAGACATTTGTCCTCGGCTGCAGTTTGCAGAGACAATAACTGACAATACAAAATAACAATCTAAAGTGAACAGACAGTGAACAGCAGGAGGTTTAATATCACAGGCTGGTAATCACTCTCTGCTGCTGCAGATTAAAATGAGAGATAATCTTACCTTCCCAACAATGTCAGAATGACAGAACCTCGTCCATGTTACGACCAGTCGTTCTCTGCACATTAGCGGACATGTGTGCCCAGCCTGCAGCCTCCCCAGCTCCAACAGACAGCAGACTGCTCTGCTTCCTATATAATTATGATGCCAAATCCCAGAGGGGGCAGCAGTTTCCTCTCCGCATGCAGGGCCAGGTCTGAATGAATGAGGGGAGGTAGAGAGGGGTCGGGCTGGGAGATGGGTAGGTGGGTGGGGTGTAAGGGGAGGGTGGTCTCAGGTTAATGGCAGCGAGACTTCCTCTCCCCGGCACTCCTCTGCACATTCATTGACGAATTCCATCCCCTGGAAAAAAAACAAAAGATAAAAGATAACAAGAGCAGCCGGAGAGTGCTTCTTCATTCACAAAGTGAATTATTTCTGCTTGTAATTGTATTTCTGCTTATTTTAATTTCATTAGAGTCCCATAGCTTAACTTAAAGCATTAAAGCACATTTCATGGCGAGCTTTAAATCTGTTTAAGTCCGTCTGTGAAGGATGCCAAACTACACGCAGAGTATTCCTCAGGTTTACCTGCAGCCTGACGTGTTACCTGCCTTAATGTTGCTGTCTCTGCCTGATTCAGAATTCAGTGTGAGGAAACAAGCCAGCGTTTTAAAAAGCTTCACTTATCGATTGAATAACCTTTGAGTTCGAAATGCCGGCAAGTGGACTCATCTGTCAAGGTGATGTCATACGCACAGTGTGTGTGTTTCGGACCGGGGCACTAGCTCATCTTGGAAGAAATTTGGGGAAATCTATAATTCATGAAACAAACAGACAACATCTATCAGACAAATAATATTACTCCCAGTGGTTTTCTGTGTGTGTGTGTGTGTGTGTGTGTGTGTGTGTGTGTGTGTGTGTGTGCGTGTGTGTGTGTGTGTGTGTGTGTGCGCGTGCGCGCGTGCGCCCTTTCAGTGCTAACAGATAAAGGATAGTCATCAATAAATGCCTGACATCTCAGATAATGTAGTGACACTCGACTTCCTCTTAACTGAATATTTAATGCCCTTCACATTATCAACACAGCCCGGCAGGATGATAACGCCACATGTTCTGGCAGACGACTAGATCAATTTATCTGACTGCAAACTCGGAAACAAAGTAGGAAACTATAAACTGTCTGAACTTTGGATCGAAGGATTTGACAGAACCAGTAAAAGGAAGATAAATAAATGCACTAACTTACAACTCAATATTAAAGAGAAATCAAAAAGTCCCATAATAAAAACAGTGAGTTTAAAAACATAAGGTGTTTTTCATGATAAGATGAAGCACTGCGAGAAAGACAAGTCATTTAAAGTGGAAAACTTTAAAACAAAAAAGTTTTTCTTGCTATAGTCATCTTCTATTATTAGGTAAACTGATTACAACACAGGAGGCCTGCTGTTACTATGCAGGAGAAGAATAGAATATTGAGTAGAAACTCAATATTAACCGCAACGCTCTTTACGAAACATTGAACCACTTCACTGAACAACAATTGATTCTGTAGCATAATGGATTGGAGGAAAACAGAAACACAGAGAGAGACACACACAGTCAGAGGAAACACTGAGAGAAAGACATTAAAACTTAATTTATCAAATGAACCCAGCAAAGCAACAATAATGTCACTCATAAGTTTGCACACAGCCACCGAATGAAACCACATTTAAATTCACTAGATCCTGATTTGTATTTGGATCTGCACAAACTCATGAATATCAGATCTTGATGACATCCTTGAATTATTCCCTGAGAAATCAAGAGAAAATGATGAAAAACACCCATCGAACCCAACACCAAGAAAGGAATCGTGAATCCGCTCCCTGATCTGGATCTGCACCAAAATGTAATGAGTTCTTCCCTGACCCATACCACACCCTCCCACCAAGTTTCAGGGTAAACCGTCCAGCAGTTTTTGTATAATCTTGCAGAAATATGTACCGATCAGTCACAACAAGCCTGTTTAATCCAAATCCTCTGCACTGCAACAAACACTCACTAAGTTAAGTTGTAATAATTTGTTGTAGATTTCATTGAAGTATTCCTCACTGGAGCGTGGTGCAGAGTTTCGTGCTGGAAACGCCTCGAGCGGTCGTTGAAATCCAGTCGGCCCATTAACCTGCTGCAGCCAGGACTCGACCAGGGGCTCGTATCAGTCCACATTACAGAGGCATCGATCCCTGGAGCAGCACTGTCCACAGGAGCATTTATGAATAATTGATGCTGCTCTGAATGAATGGAGACTCTTCCTCTCCTTGTATTTTTATATGGAGGCTATTTTCACTGACATTTATGCATTGAAGAGGAGTCAAAGTACAAAATGCTCGTGTTATGACCTCAGGCAGTTGGTTTGCACTCAGCATCAGATGCTCACATACACACACATCTGGGGTGGAATCAGATTATTCAATATCGGCCATATTTGTCTTCTTTTGCAGGTGCATTGGTACGATTTGGGGATTGCTCATCAAAACATTGTTCTATGATGCATTAGTGTTAGCCCTTGGTAATTGTACGTATAATTTCCATTCACTTTCAGTTTATTATGTATTTGTAGTTTCTATAAATTAAACATGACATAATTCGTGGATCTTGATGAAAATCTGGAGCTGCTAGATTGAATTCATTGGGACTATTGAGCCTCGTTACATTCTAGTTTGTAATGTGCCGAATTTTGAATCAGGGTTTTTGGTTGTTAGAAGTCAGAATCTGTGTAGTGTATATCTGTAGTTAATGTATTCTGAGGTGAGTTCGGGATTTGGTCGACAATAATCTTTGCTCTTATATTCTTTTCTGTTTTAACATCTAAATTCTGTGCCTTGCTGCTTGGTACTAGATAGGTCAGATAGCTGAGCTCTTATTCACACAGAAAATCACTAACATAACACTCAACAGAAACCGTTGCCTGAATTCTAATGATATGCGTTTGATTCATAAACACACCGTGTTGTCATTTCTCTTCAATTGTACCTGCACAAAGAACACCTGCATGTTCTTTGTAAAAATGTGTGACGGAGGAGGAACATGTCTGTTTGCAGCAACAGGTTTCAATCCATGTGAAACACACCTTTCCTGATGGAAGGAAGGATTAAGGTAGTTGGATTGAAAGAGAAGGCATTTTAAGCAAAATGGGTCACATTGTCAACTTCTTCACTGTGAGGGAACAAAACACTGAAATACCAAACTTTGTGATTTATTATTAATGATATTCTGTTGGTACTGAATTTCTTAATGCAATCTACTACCATAGCCCCTGTGTGTGTGTGTGTGTGTGTGTGTGTGCACGATCATGTGAATTACAGAGATGGTAAATTGAGTCAGCAGGGAGTCTCTGGCTCCGCTGGTCTCAGTTGTTTCCATTGATCCGTATCAGAAGAGTCGTCTGACCGCTGGTCAGCGCTGCACCTCGCTCTGTAGATACACCGGCTCTTGTTCCGTCTCATTTAGAGAAACATTCCAGAAATTTACCTCAAAGCAGATGTTTTGTTTGCGTGTGTATTTTTATTCTTGACAGTGTCTATGCATTATTCTGAACAATGTATGCATATTGTGGTTTTGCTCTGTCAAACTTATGCATGTTTTATTTACTGTGCATGCATTTATATTTCTGTGTATTCATTTCTTATTCTAACATTTATATCCCTCATTTTGGTTGTTTATGTATTATGAGTCTTTGCTTTGCATGATTTGAATTAATTAGTAATTATTAGTATTTCCAAAATATAATGACATTTTTTGATCTGTAATCACTTTCATTGAGTTTTTGCTGTTGTTATTGTTTCAGAACTGGTTCCAATAAAAACTGCAGAATCTTTTCCCTTTTATGCTGAACTAGGATATTTACTGTGGATAAGTCTTTACATAAGCATAATTCTGCAGCAAAACTTTTTGAATATAAGCCCTATATTACTCAACGCCATTACGATTGTGACGGGCTGAGATATTCATCTGCTGTGGACATGTGAGCTTCTGTATCGTCTTTCCTCAGGGGAGATTTATTTCTGCCTGCAGCCGCTCTGCTTCCCGCAACCAAGGTGCATTCAGAGAGGCTTCTCCTCTTCGTCATATTAGAGAGGGCGAAACTCAAGCCAGGCTGGTTGCTAGACTCAGCACACACGCACGCGCGCGCACACATACACACACACTCACAGTGGTTTATGGATATTTTTACCCAAGTGCATCCCCTGTATGTGAATGCATTTTCCTGCTGTGACAGAGGGGGAGAATTTAGTCATGATATGAAATGTTGGTTGTGTGTATCAATGCATTGAGTAGACAACGGTGAAGCCAGAAAACTGTGCGTCTTGGACATGAATGATCGGTTTAGTTACTTTTTTCAAGGTTTTACAATATTCCACTAAACGTGTGGTGTAAATGTGCAATGCACAAGTAAAGGTGAATAAACATGGATGTTAATGTGAAAACTGAAGCTCCTGATGCAGTGAAACAGAAAACTTCTCTCTGTTACATCTATAACTAAAATATTTCAGCTGAGTCATGATCTGTGGGACTGATGGACACTACTCTTCATGATTCCTATGTGAATGATTTGTGTTTAATTGTTAAATACCTCAATATCTTCAGCGAAAACACGACTATCATGTTTCTGTGTCTCATTCATTGAGTGTCACTTATACTGTTTTACACAGACTTGGACCAACAGTGGACTTTGTGGAGGAGCAGTGGTCTGATTTTCATAATTACACTTCAACCATCAGATGAGACACAGAAGAGCAGCTGTGTGGTTTGCTGTTGTGTTGTAAACCACAGTCTGAGTATTGATTACCTGAGGATTTAATTGTGTGCTTTTGGGAGCTCCTCCATTGGAGCATGACATCATATCCTAGCTTTTCCATTAACGTCTGAAAACAAAGAGATTTTAAACTTGTCTGAGCTCAAACCAGTGTCCAGCATCAGGAGAGAGAAGCAGTTTCTCCTGCAGGTTTATTAGACAGTGACAGACTGAGCACCAGAGGATCCCTGACAACCAGTCCGTCTCACATCCTGCCTGTCTGCTGACCTCTAATGCACGGAGGAGAGAGCCGGGGAGGGGATCGTTCGAAGAGGCTTATGTGCCTCTCGCTCGTCATGTAAACATTTGCAAACTCCAATGAAAATCAATAGCAGAGAGGAGAAATTCCAGTAACTCTGTATCCGTGCACACAGCTTGTCTTACAGCGGAAGCCTGGGCCCGGTGACAGACACATTAACATAAAGAGCCATGAAACATGGTCTGCATGAAAACTGGAGTTTGACCAGTTTTATTTTAAACTGTTTGATAAAAGTCTCTTTTTTTTAAATGACTGCTTCATTTTCTGTGCCACTAATCATGAGTCAGTCTCATCTGTCAATCATGACTTCTCAACCTGTTTTTACATCATCAAAAATCTAATTAAAACCAAAGTTGTCTTATTATGACAGAAACCATCTTCGAGAAACATTTATTCAACGTCTACTACACAACCGTGTCCCATCTGCCAACATAGAGGAGGCAGGGACTATGGCGTGTAATGCAGCCTGATGCTTTGGCTTCCCTTTTTGAGAGTAGTCATGTCATCCATCTTTATTTTGCCTGTTGTCACTGATGTTCTTCAGTTGTCCTCTCTGTGAAGTGTCTCGCTTCAGCTGTTTTGAACAGAATTGTATATAAACTGCATTTTCAGCAGAAAACACACTTTCTGGTTATTTCTGTTCTATTAAGCATTTGTATGAGTAACTTATCCCATGGTAGTTTAAAGAGCAACATATAAAAATCAACACATGAAATCTTACTGAACTAATTTTGAGCACATCCTAATGATCATACAAAGAGTAGATCAGCAAATTACACGTTTCCCCAGGTATCAATCACTTCCTGTGTGAACAACTGTTAAATGCATTGAAAACAAAATGTTGCATACGAACATGTTTGCATGTGTAATGAAAAGCTGCACGCTCGCTGTCCATCTCCCCATGATAACAGACACGGACAGGACACCCTGCTGTGCCAGTGAGACCCAGCCTGCAGCCATCAGCATGTCTGTGAGCAGAGGCCACACGAGCTGCTAATCACCACTAACACCATTAACTATAATGTTTAGTAGCAGCAGGCGGTTATCTCCCATCTGTTATCTGCACTCGTCATCAGCAAGAAGAAGAAGAAGCTAGAGGAGGAGCAGAGACGACGATCACTCCGCAATATTGTTTTAACAAACTATTATAAACTGCTATTTAGAAATAAAAGAAGGAGATGCCCATAATGTTACACTTTTTTCAATCAATAATAGCAGTTGCCTTAATGTCTGAGACATTTAAATGTACAAATAGTTTTAAAGATTATAAAATTAGTTTTAAATACACTGCACCGGCTTCATGATCAGTCAGTCGGTTCTGAAGATAACTAACTGCATGCAGTTCAGAGGAGGAGCTGTGTTTGGCATCAGTCGACAGCAGGTGACAGCAGAGAGACACGGCCGAGGCGCTGGTGAATGTTGGACGTTATACAGACACTTAAATATGTGTTGAGCTCTGCCTGTGTGTAAAACTTAGCTTTTAATACTCAGTCATCTTTTGATTTAAGATATGTTTTTTTTTCATAAAATGACAGTGACACAGAAAAGTGTGTATCAAATGCTGGAAATGTCAAAAAAAAAAAAAATCTAACTTTATTATATTCATTTTAAAATTGTTCCATATTACAAAAGTAATTGATTGATTTATTAATTTACATAAACTGGGGATAAAAGTCTTAAGAATTAGATCCCTTGGTTTTATATGATAAATGTTAGTTCATAATAACACATCAGCTATTTTAAGAGAAAAATAAATGAATCCCGAGCCAATTCAACACCACAAAAGTTGTTGATGCTCGTCAGACTGCTCTGACTTTAAGGATTAGATTTTAAATTAGCTTATAAACACCTCACATAAATGTTAATTTGGGCAAAAAATGTTTTACCATATGAGTAACAAACATTATTATGTGCTTTCACTTTTGGCAAACTGGAGTCTCGAACGAAATAAACATATTATCATATACTTTGCATTTTAACATGTTACATGTCTGGAGGGAGGCATCTCCAAAAACAGCTTCCCCTTGAACCTCACTCTCATATAGACAACAGCTTTTCACTTGAACTGCTGCAATAACTCCTGGAAAACGGGAAATATACTGAATGCGTATTTCAAATATTCATAAAAGCCATTTGCCAGTTTTCGTACATCTTCAGCGAACAAGAAGGGGGGGAGGTATGTTTAAAGGATTCATGACTGTGTGGGAACACTTCACCAGCTCTCCACCCCCACCCAACTAACCTCACACCTGCTCACAGCCGAGCTGTTTCAACCACTTTCATCACATCAGCTCCCGTCGACTCGAAGCAAAACTGGATTTATTCATCGAGATTCAACGAGGTGCAGGCAAACAGCCGACATGTGAGACGTCACAAACAATCACCAGAAGAGTTCAGTGCTGATCAGGACTTGAGGGTCAGGGGAACGTGTCAGCTTACATCATTCATCCATTAGTGTTTCAATCCCAGCATGCACCAGGGGAGGAAACCTCTCTGACCTGTTTATTACACACGCCAACATTACAGGCCACGGTTAACCTGCGCTGTGTGTCTGTGAGGTGTGAAAAGAAATGAACACAATGTACAAGCTGCCTGCACAAAGATCCAGGTCTACCTCATCACTCTCAGTTAGCAGATATCTGACCATTTCTCCTCTCTTCGGTTGTTTACCATTTCTTCGTGTCTCTTTTTGGTCGTTTTACATCTGTTTGTTGTGCTTTTTGTCTTGTTGAGGTCATTTTGATTCTCTTTGTAGTCGTTTGATTGAATTCTCATTAAGATGATGTTAATGGTCTGTCTACTTTAATCTGCTGTACCATAATTTACAGGCTATGTTAGTCTAATACACTACTAACACTACTTCTATCTATCTATCTATCTATCTATCTATAATCCAGCAACGTCATCCATCCATCCGTCCGTTCGTCTATCTCTGTCTCTCTCTTTCTTTAGTAATATGAGTACTTATACTTGTGTACTTATACTTATACCACCACAGGAAAACGCTGATAATAATCAGAG